TTTTAAATTTTAATAATCTGGTTCATCTCCTTTTTGTGGTATGTACATAATAGGTAGGCACATAATAGTATACAACATAATAAGTGTAGTAAATTTTTATTTTTATTCTGTAAAAATCTTATTAGCTTATGCGTTTTGGGATTTAAGACAGATTGATAACAACTTTACTAAAGTTTTCTGCTTAAGGCGGTAGACTTAGGTATAAAAAGAAGGAAATTAATTAAAGCGATGCGTTAATTCATTAAATCAATCCTTTAAATATTTTTGAGATTCGAAAATTTAATGAAATCATTAAGAGACTGTCAAAAAGTGAATAATACCAGCCAACTTTTTTTTCGAAAAAAAAAGAAGAAAAACAAGCTAGCATTTAGTTTAATAATAAATGCTGATAAACTAAATTCATGGGGCAACACTTTCTGGTAAGTAGAGTGCAATATACATCATGCGAAACAGTATACGATTTTATTTAAGTTCAGCAAAAAAATCTTATTCAATTGTAAGTCTTCGGGATTTTAGAAAGATTGAGAATAACTGTACTAAAGCTTTCCATTTAGAACGGATGCACTTAGGTACGAAAAGAAGGAAAATAAAGTAAAGAAATGTTTTAAATATTTTTAAATGTCGAAAATATCTAGATATAGATGCTTATAATATTATATTACTATCGAACCATTCTTTAATCTGATTGAAGTGGAATTCGTAAAGATAAACGAATTTAATAATTAAGAAATGAATTTATTTTTCTTCAGGAAAATTACTTATTGCTGAAATCGTAAATGAAAGAAACCCTTGAAATAATAGTTTAAAAAATAACAAATTTGCAATTTTGTGTTAGAGTAAAAATAATTTTTTTGCTTATCTCACGAATTTTAAACTGAATTTCAAATAAATTTGAAAATTTGTGCCATACCAATCATTCAATAACACCAGACAACAGAAAAAAAACATTTATGGATGCAAGCATGTACTAATTTGCTTTCTATATTCATTTTAAAATTTTGAGTAATATTGCGTCCTTTTTTTTCCTACAACATTACTCAATGCTTCTCAACTCCGTTTAATGATATCGTTATCAATGACTAATAAAATTTTCAATTCAAATTCAATTTTCTTTGATTTTCCTCATCCAACTGTTCTAACTTATAATAATACTAAAAATACACGTTTTAGTAATAATTATATTGTAATTATTAATAATCAAATGTAAATAGTAATATAATAACAATGGTGAGGTGACTTAATGAGGTAAATGACATGACAGATAAAGTACCAAATTTGGTATGAAAGTACCTGAGGGTGCATGTGTAAATTTATAAAAGTCAGCCTAATTGTACCCTCTGGGGTTACTACTAAGGACTATCCGTACTGTCAAAGTGGTGAAAGAAACTTAAAAATTACTGTTTAGATGAATGAGAAATGAGCGAGATATATTGTTGTATAATTGTGTATTTTTCCGCCAATGAAATTAAGGAGATTAAACTTATGCTAATAGGACTGATCATTTAGGAGTCACAGAAACAGTTTCGGCATCTATATTGCAAATTGGCTGCCTTAGGACAAAACACATAAAAAAATAATAATAATAATATATATATATATGTACATTTAGCATTGTCAGCAATGTGAAGAAAATATAACATTATTAATAAAATCTGGAAATACTATATAAAATAAAAATCTGGATGCTGAGAGATAAGAAGCACTTGCTAAAGGGANTATATATATATATAAAAAAAACAGGTAAATGGCACCAATGACAGCTATAGCAAAAATAACTAAGGACTTCGGGAAATTTCTTTTCGAATAGGAGATAATTCATCCTAAGACTCACGTCAAATTTTAGTCTAACTTAAATCCCCAACTTTCATTAATATTACTAAATCTATTAATACTCAGTGGAGAAAACTATGACTATACATTGATATGTATATAGTATATATTAATACAGCACCAATCGATAAAATATTCGTAATACTTATTACCAATACAAATTTCTTTTTTTTTTTTTTGACAAAACTACTGACAATTTTTTCATAAAAATCGACATGAGAGAGAGAATGCAGATTAAGTCTACATAAGAACAAATCACAGGGATAAATGTTTACATTTATTTTACATTTTATTTCTTTACATTTATTTTACATTTTATTTCTTTACATTTATTTTACATTTTATTTATTTACATTTATTTTACATTTTATAACTGTTGAGTATATATGCTAGCAATCTAAAATGGGAAAATAGAAACATTAAATATTTTTCTATGAATAAAATGTTGTTTTTTAAATTTGTTACTTGTCGTTCCTAATTACTCCCCTCCCGTTTTTCTACGTTTATATTTTCAGTTAAATATTCAAATTATTTTTATAGTATCAGGGTTCAAATTTAACGATCGTCCGTTGGAGCATAATATTAATTATCCAGAGACAACTGTACCAGCTATCTATGTTAAAGGATAGTATGCTCTTTTAATTTTGGTTTTTCAGAAAATATATTTCCACAAAATAGTGAACATTACACACTCCCGGTATTTTATTTTATTTCATATTTTATAACCGTCGTTGAACAGCCGATCCAGTTTTTGGGGTTTACGACTACTAATGTTCAACTCCGTAGCCTTGCAATTTTAAGCCCAATCCAAAAGATAAGGGAACTCCTGGAGCAAGCCTGGAGAAATTTGCTTTCGTGGAGGACTTTTGGGTGGAACTAACCCATATTTGCGTTACACGGAGAGGAAAACCACGAAAACCTTCCACGCTTAGCCTTGTGCCAAGGCGACTCTAATCCATAATCCGTCTACCATTAAGGATATTTTAGGTCAACTCTGTGGTCGGTGCGAGCCGGGTGCGGAATTCGTATCGACCAATCATTGCTCGGATTCGAACCCGGTTCTTTGATGGGATGACCAGAGCGATGGGTTAATAAATTTCATCTACAGAGCAAATTTCTCTGCATTGTTTTTTTTTTATTTAATTTCCTCAAAAGAAAAAAAAATCTAATTGAAACATGTGCACAAACTAATAAAAATGAGGGCTGCCAGTTATTATTTTTTTTTAAAAAATCTCTTTTGAGCCTGTGGTTAAATTGTTTAATTTTTTTCTCGTAGTATTTTTTTAAATTCTCTCTATAGCCCAAATTCTATATATATTACTATAATTACTATATCCATATTGTGGGCATGAGAAACCTAGATTTTTTTGGAAATACATTAAAAAAATGCAAACTAAGTTCTATTCATTTTTATAATCAGTTAATATTTGGAAATTACTCAAACGAAAACTAAATAGCTTGAATTAGTTCAAAAAATAAAACAAACAAACGTATTTATTACTATATAAAACAATTCTTTTAACAAAAAAAAAAAAAAAAGATNACTTTTTTAAAAAAAAAAAAAAAAAAAGATCTTAAATTGTAATTTGGATGAAAGTATACTTAGGAAAAAAAGAAGCGCTTTTTACTTTTTTTTCTTTCCCCAAAAAATGATAAAAATTGAATTTTAAAAATTTTTAGGAATTTAAAAATTTTGCATGCATGCTAGGTAATAAATGTTAAGAATAATAATTGAGTTAAAACGAAAAAATAGCTAGATCACCACACCAAAAATGATGACTGTGTCATAGAAAACATTTCTTTATTCTTTTTCTTTCTAATTTCTAAAAAATGTCCTGTAAATATTAAAAATTTCATATATATATTAGAAAAATTAAAAATATTTGGGCCTGCAAGAAAATGCATACAAAATAATAACTTAATTTCTCCACATCGACCACTTCTCCACCTTACGACAATTTGAATAAATATTTCATCATACAAGAAACATGTTGTAATACGTCGAATAGAGAAGAGCATAAAATTAAAAGCTCCCCATACGACTCACGTGATATTCACGTTCTGATCATCTCTACTGTCAATGGAACGGATGAAGTAAAAAAGTCACGAAATTAAACAAAAAATGAAAAGAGAAAGGGTCAAATGAAATTAAGTATGACAAAGCCCTATTGCACGTTTAGATTTGTTTGGAACAAACTATCTTGTGATCGAAGTCTAAAATTAAAATTATTTCGAATTTGATCCCTAAAGTAATATTTTTTTATTATTTCTCTGTTTCCGTTTCAAAGTTTACGTTGGAACATCGTCATCACGCCATAGCAGACGATACTTCGCCTGGCTGAAAATGATCACGCCATGTGGTTCTATAACAATCATACCGGCCAATGAAATCAGGACCCGAGCCGGTGACGTCACGAACGCAAGAGAGCGAATACTTTAGTGAAGAACGGGAATGAGAATTCTTATAATAGAAAAACCAAGCCGGCGAGCTTTGAGCTCTCTACGTAAATCGGAATTGAACTCTCGTCTGTCACACTTTTCATTATTCGGTATCATTTTTTTTTATCGTTGATTTTTGAATCCCGCTTCTTTCGTTTATATAAGTATTTGTTTCTAAATTTAGAAAGTGGCTTGACTTTGCTCCGGATCTTCTCATTCAAATTGATAGAATTTGAAAAGCCGATTAATTGAACTCGTGTTTTCAATTTGTGTTTATTTACATTCTTGTTAAAAATTTCGTCAATGGACTTCGGACAGATTTGAAATATATATATAGTATGGGATGGCAGCTTCAATAAATTAATTCGACTTGCAGTGATCTCGGATGCTTCAAATTGTAACGTGAATATTTTTAATCAGTGAAAGAAGTTGAAACTAAAAAAATTGATCTCCCAGAAGTATTATAGTTAGGTAAGTAAAATATTTTTATTTTTAGATGATAAATAATCTTAACTATGTAATATAGAATTAAAGATTTTTTGAAGTTACACTTTTAAAATTTGAAATTAATATTTTTTTAAATAAACATTTAGTTTTATATTTTGCACATGGTTCAAGTTTTCCTTAACCTTAACACGTAATGAAACGAATTGCAATTCTTTAGAAATGTAATAATTTATTTTATTTTTGCTATTTAATATCTTTAAAAATTATAATAATGTATTATAATAATGTAAAATTTTAATATAATAATTTACCGTTAATTTTTTTTTAGATTATGTAATTAATTTTTTTCTAATTAAAAAAAAATGCTTTTTTAAAAGCTTAGTTTTTATTCTATTTATTTTTTTCGACTAAGCAAACGATTTCATACTCAGTTTGGTTTTTTGTTTCTCTCGTTTTTTATAATTTTCATTTTAGATCATAATATTTCCTTTTTTTGTTTATTGTTCTAACAACTGCTAGTTAAATCGAAGTTGAGTTTTAATCGAATGTAGAATTTAAGAGCTGCTAAATTTGTTCGGGATAATTAAAATTTGTCGATGCAATTTATTGATGTGGGTGAATAAAATTCAGAAGCGTTGGCATAATGTGAATTTTACAAATACTGTTTGACAAAGTTTTTTAAGTTTTGAAAAAAAAGTCTTAAGACTGAGATCAAGAATTTTTTTTAAAATTGAAATTTCGAGAAAAGTTTGGGTCGTATTTTTTTATCCTAGAGGGAAAAAAATGAAAATTTTTTTCGCATGTTTTGATTTTATTATAATATTAATTCAAAATCAACTTCGCGTTTGTAGAAGTTGTAATATTTATTGAAACTTTGTAAGGAAGAATTATAGATAATTTAAAACGTTCATATCTATGTATTAACTGTATAAGTTTTAAAAAAATTATTAAAAATTATTATTTATTTAAAAAAGCTCAGGAAGTCTTATGAAAATACTTTTTTCATTAATTTATGACTTTTCATAAATAGCGAAAATGTTTTTTACACGTAATGATCATTTAATAAGTTATATTTATAATTTTGATGTATGGAATAGCATTTTTAAAAGTAATTAAATTGCGGCGAATTAGAATTTTCTCCTTCACTTGTCTATTTTCCACTTAACTTTGCACTTTATTAATATCAATTCGATAAAATTGGATGTGAGTTTTGGTTTTGTTATAGAAAGCGCCATCTATTGATAGAAATGTTTATTGATATAACGTATAGAGATTGTATTTAAGTTAATTTTTTTATTAAAAAGGATTTATTTTTATTCTGAATTACAAAGCTTTCGCAACATTATGCTTTAATATCGAATATCGCAAACATTTAGTGTTAATATTAGTTTAAGTTTTGAAGAATCTTTTATGAATGGAATATTTAAAATCCTTATTTTTTAACAAAATAACTTTTATTTCATCTGAAATATACTAAACTCAGCTTAAAATTCGTTTTAAGATGACTTTTACGTTGCGCAGTTTTTGAAAATTTATTTATCCTCTTAATATTTAGGAAGAAAATATTAAGTAGAATATTTGCTTAACAAATTGATAAATAAATTTATAATGCATAAATTTGAAATTGAAATTTTATTTAAAATTTTCAAAACTTTCAAATTTTTGGCTGTTTTTTATAATTTGTAGTTCAAAAGAGTTCGAAAAATATTGTTTCATTTAAAATAAAAAATCATAACTTGAATTTAAGAGAAAAATGATTCCAATAGAATATATCTGTTAAATAAATTGTTGGCTGAAATATAACTTTCTTTATTTACCCAAATTACTACATTATTTAAATAACTTTATTTAACGTTTCAAAAGATTTTTTTCAAACAAATTTATGACAATAGTTTTTGAATTAGGGCATTATTCTAAAAGTATTACTTCCCTTATATAAAATGCAAATATAACTTTTTGTTTTTGTTTTTGAAAGTTAGAAGTACCATTCAAAACTTTTGATACGAGTTTTTTTCTTCAAAAGAAAAAAAAGTTTCATTTTACTGTTTGGCATTTACGAGGTAAGCTTCAAACCTGACTTAAAGCAGCCTGGCTGAGAGCTCACGTGATCTCCAGTCTTTATTTCAATTTATAAATTTAGTCTTTATTATTAAAATTAGATAAACGCTGCTGCAAACTCTACTTGATTTACCTGTATACTACTGGGTTTGCCAGTTTCTCCTGGTATCCTGGTATAATAAAAATTCTCCTAGTGTTTGTATATTATAGAACATACCCTAAAGTTATCTAAAAGAAAAATCCCGATTGAAATTTTTACATAATTTATTTTCTACTTGAATATTGCTGATACATAAGGAATTTTTAATATTTTTAGTAATCTGTTTAAAGCTTTTTTTTCCTTTTTATTTTGTTCTAAAATTCTCAGTTTATTTTTATTCAGAAGTCTCTCTTTTTAAATTAATAAAAATCTTTAAATTATCAATAATGCATTACTTGCTTGTTACTATTTAAAAATAATAGTTAGCACAATAAAAAAAACAAAAAACAAATTCCAATTCATTTAATGTTAATCATAAAAAGAAAATATATCAGACCATTTTTAGTTCTTAATGTAATAAAGTTTTTGTATTTTGATGACAATAAAAATCTTTGAATTTTCCTATATGTAAAATACTTCATGCAACATGTTATAATGAAATTTATATTATTTCGTAAAATTTACGAGTTTTTTTTCCTATCCATGTTAGAATGGTTTGAAAGATTTAATAAATAGTAAGAAAGCATATCTACGACGATATGTAGAAATTGAGACAAATATATCAATAATATAATATCTGACCAATAACATGTCAGTTGATTGAAGCGAAAATAGATGAAAGGTCGGAATAGAATGAGGGGAAAAACAAATTTTAAACCCCGAGGAAAAATAATTATTTAAACGACTTTCTAAATAACAATCTAAATTATGTTTCTATTTCTTAATGGAAACTATGAATCCACTACTCCTAACGTAAAGAAGTTAGTTTTTTCTTCCGCCATTGAAGGCAACGTACAATGCAAGGCTATTTTAGTAAGTAACGAGTTTTATTTCTTCACTGTCAAGGTCAATAAGTTTTACAATCGATATCTAAATTGGTTTCTTTGTTTCTTCTTACTAGTTGTTAAATCTAGACACGTTATGAACTACTTTCCCGGTTTGCTTCACCGAAATAAAATTGTATTGAATCGGAAACAATATATTTATCACTTTTGCAATTGATGAAGAATTGAAATTCTTAGACCAAGAAATTTTTTATTCTAAATAATACCTTTCTATAAGCTTTATATTTTTAAACTTAATAATATTAAATATTTTTTTTTTTTATCTAGAGCAGAAGTAGGTCTGTATGGAACGATTAGAGATCATTTAAAATCATCTTCCGAAATAATTTACGTATTAATTCACGAATATTTTGTGATGAAGTAAAAAATGATAGTTCGTAAATGTTTAAATCAAGTGGATATTTTGAGTTACCTATTAATCGGCTTTATTGAGGCCGTGTACGTAAGCTTCAAATCAAAGCAAAACTATTTTTGTATTAGTAGTATATGAGAGAGAGAATTATCTTATTTCTGCAAAATAAATATAAATAAAAATATTTTTGCTGCCATTTTTTACTTTTTAAAAAAAAATACGAAACGTTATTAAAAGAACGTAAGCAGAAACGGGTTAATTTGTTATAAAATAGTGGGGAAATTTTGTAATTAAAAAAAAATTAGTCGCAAGATAGGAGACAGATTTCTTTACGTACTGCAAACACCTACCTAAACAAAGTTTTTTTTAGATACTTCAAATACCTACCTAAAAAAAGCATTACTGCAGGACATTGGTGACATAAAGAAATATTTTTTCACTTAAAAATCAAAACTTCGGGATAAATTATTTCATTGACTAGGAAAATCAAATAAAATTACTTCTATTTAACTACAGTGTGGCGAAAGGTTACAATAATACTGTGCACTAAGGAACTCATTATTATACATTTTAGTGAACATATTAAATATTGTCTGTTAACCCGACTTCCTATTGCAATAAAATTTGCTCATTGTTTTTTTTAAAAAACTTAATATCTTAAATTTATTTAAAAGTAAAGAAAAATAAAAATTTTTGGGAAAACAAACTGCAATATCGTTAAATGTCCTATTACTCTCAGCTTGAAATAAAACATATACAATTGCTGTAGTACGTAATTCAGACACAATTAAAACATCGTTAGTTCTTACTTCAGATTTTGATTTAAGCCGTAGCTTATAAATTGTGTCTAATTCATATATCCGCATTGTTCTATTTTCTAGTAATAATTATCACTAGGCAACAGTGAGGAAAATCCGATTGTCTTTTGAGCGATAAATATGGTATTTAAAGGTTGCTCACTAGCGGAATTTAAAAGTTATCGAAATTTAACTGGCAAGAACGTTGCGTTTCTTTTTCAATATATCGTATTTTGACCTCTTATTATCGATGCGGTTTGGCTTACTTTAGAGGTCTGAACTCATGATAATATGCCAATAGTAATTAATATGTTCAATATTACATATTAACTCAATTTGTCAAACAATTCTAAAGCTTGTTGTCTCCTCTTGGGTTTAGCATGAGCATAAAATTTAAATAATTTTATCTAAAAAACATTATTATTTAGAAATTTAAACTAAAACGAAAACTTCCTTACAACGAAAAACAAAGAATAAAAGTTACTTAACGGTAACTGTGACCATGTATTGGACTGCTTTTCCGAGTATCTAACAGGATCACTTCCTTATAATCGAAAAGTAGAAAATTTAATAACGCTGTGAATTATAAAAAATATTGATATTTAACAATATAACATAACATTTTTTACCTAATATTCATATATCATAATATTCTTTACATAACTAATTTATACAATTTTTATATAAATAAGTGTTTTTGTTTCTTATATAAAATTTATCTGCACTGACAGTATAATCCTATTCAATAATTATCAATTCATAAAATATTGATG